GTCAACCTTGAGCCGGTGAGATTAGAACCGCTGAACTGCAGATAACAGTCAGCTGAAGTGGCCTGCTGTACTGCACCCTAACCACTGCACCACCTCGGCTCAAGTGGATTTGGTTTACCGAATTGGGAGTTATATTATCAAGCAGCAGCTTTAATGTGGATAAAAGAATGGATATTATTGAGAAATACAAGGTTACTGTCTTTGGAGGGACATGACATGCAACTGGGTTGGTACACATATTTGTAATATGGGAAAAATAGAATACATGGTTATTTTAAGAGACACTATGTAAGAAACGGCTTATACACAATATGGGAAAAAGTGGAAAAAAAAACATTACAGGGAAATACCAATGTGGCTTTCAACAGTGGAAGTTTTAACACACTCAAATATTAATAGTATGAGAAATGTTATTAAAAATATACTAACAGCAAGGGGACAATTAAAAGAAGACAGAATTAGAAGAATAAGGTATTGATATAGGATGGTTTAAACAAATGCAAAAACAAACAAGTTATGAGAAGGATGCTAAAGAGTATGGTTTTAATATGGAAAATTCAGAACTGGATAAGATACTCATGGGAATGGATGGAAAAAATGATCAAAAAACAGTATAGTTATCTACTTAGATTAAATTTAGAAGATGTTAAAAACAATGATAAGATGGGCCAAAAAATGGATATATAAAAGAACTAGAAAAATGGCAATAATTATGGCAAATAGTGACAGCATATAAAGAACATTTGTATAAAATGTTTAATAGATGGCACATAGCACCTAAAAGATTAGCAAAAATGTTTGATAAATCATCCAAATGTTGAAAGTGTCATCAATTGCCAGGATCATACTATCACATGTGGTGGACGTGTAGGGATGCAAGAAGCTATTGGTTAAAATACAAGCATGGTTGAAGAAAATGGTACATCAACCTTTAGAGCTTAAACCAGAGGAATTCTTATTGGGTATTCTACCAGAGAAATACAGCAAAGAAGATTCATAATTTATTGTACATACTGTATAATAACAGCAGCTAGAATTGTACATGCACAAAATTGGAAAGCAGATAGAATCCCTTCAGGAGAGATATTTAAGAAGATATTAGATTGTGCAGAAATGAACAGGTTGACATTGAGAATAATGGACAAAGAGGAATCAGTGTACTACAGGACATGGGGACGATTTTAAGATTGGTTAGAAAAGAAATACAAATAGAAAGAGAAAGGAACAACGTATAAAATAAACAACTCAGAGGACACATTGTTAAATTAGGGGACAACAACAAGAAAGTATTAAAATACAAGTTTAAAAAGGTACAAGTGGACTTATTATTGGAAAGTAAAATATAGAGAAAATTATTTGTATGTAAATATAAAGTTGGGATCGCTGAAATGCCACCCCAAGAACCCATCACAGAAAGTAACAAACAAGGCCAACAATGGAAAGGAGGGAAGATTAGGAGGAAAAACAAGTGTAAAGCAGAGGAAGTAAGGGAGGGGAAGTAAGAGTAGGAGAGAGGAGAAGGAAGGAGGAGTGGGGGAAAGAGGGGAAGAAGAAAAGAGGAAGGAGAGGAGGAAAGAAGAAGAAGAGAAGGGAGGTTGAGAAGATGGAAGGAGTAAGGTTGTTGCAGAATAAGATGGAGACAAAGGGTGGAAAGAAAATGGCCAAAAATGTATCTTATATATTTGTAAAAAGATTACAAATATAAAGATTAATGGTTAACAGATAAATGTTAATAGCACCTGTAAGAATGTATATTTGTGAATAAATTTGAAAGGGGAAAAGAAACTTTTTTAAAAAATATCCCTGATTCTCTGCCCCCAAGGAGTTCCCAAGATGTGACACACACCCCTCCTCACCTGCTATGAAAATCACAAGTAGTCCCTTAATGAGGAACTGTTGAGGGAGACACCAGTGTTTCATTAACTTTAGAAAATAATATTCTGTGAAATGACTCATTTGAGGTTGATAAAGTCAGAAATATAGGAGTGATTGAGAATTAAACATTTGAATATCATCAGCTCAACTAGAAAATGTACCCCAGTTAATTCCTGCACCAGAGGAAAGAAAAAGAGATGTTGGAGAAGAAACTATGACCTCTTCTTCAAATTCAGGACCCTCTTATATCCCTCAGGAGTGGAGGGTGGTTGAAACAGGGTTAAATTCTCTTTTCTCTCAGAATGATCTCCATCCAGGAAGAAATTACTTCTCCAAATACTGGCAATCAGAAGGCTAATTCTGCTGGCTGCACAGTTCTGCAGTTTGATCCTGACAGGCTCAAGATTGGCTGCCTTTAATCTGCCATTACTATTAGCAGTTCATTGCAGACATTGGAAGATCCCTGATCCCCCCCCCCAGGAGTTCCCAGGATAAGACACCCTACCTCACCTGCCCCTTTCCCGGCTCTTCCCTCTGGGCTTGGCTGAGCAGGAAGCCTTCGGCCAGGGCCACCGCC